AGCATTTAGGAACTAAAGGAAAGTTGTATGTTTCATCGTTGCTACACTGCACCCTAACTGGCTTGTCTTCTCCCGGCGACCCTTCCATAAGGGGATGTCCAGTTGTCTACAGATGGGCCTTGGTTCCCCAACCTGCACTCCCCACCCCTTGGATCCTTTTTTGTTCTCTGCCAGGTGCTTGTTGGTCTATTGTATGGATGACTCTTGATGGTGAATAATTTCTAGAGTGCCTGCATAGTGGCCGGTTTTCACCCAAAACATCCACTCTAATCCAGCGGTTCTCAACCTGTGGGTCAAGGCCCCTTTGGGGGTCAAACGACCCTTCCACGGGGGTTGCCCGATTCATAACAGTAGCAGAATGACAGTGATGAAGTAGCAATGAAAATAATGTTATGGTTTAGGGGTCACCACCACACGAGGAACTGTATGAAAGGGTCGCAGCATGAGGAAGGTGGAGACCCCCTGCTGTAAGCCAATGCCTGGGCTCCCAACTAGGTGGGAGATGGTTGTGTGTGGTGGGGGTGGGGGGGACCCAAGCAGGCTGGCTAGTTCTGAGCAGCTGGTGACCAAGAGATGGACAAAAACAAGGGTTATAGAAAGATCCGGCTGCTGTTAGAAATTTCTAGAACTTGAGAGGGCACCACACACCTTGCTGAGGTCCCCAGTGAAAATGTCTCCCCCCTGGTTTCCGAGTGGCCTGAAGACACAGCCTGCAGGGGCAACAGGTCCCCTGGAGCGGAGGTTGGGCCCCTGCAGAGAGGTTCCCTGGGAGGAGAAGGCGAGCTGCCTGGGGGCTTGCCAAGAGGCACTGCTGAGCTGCTGCTTCTCCCAGAGGTCTTCGGGGCAGGTCAGCCTCGCCCTGCCCAGCTGTTCTCCCCACTCCCCGGAGGGGAGCCTGCAACAGCTGAATGGAGTCTGGTGTCTGCGGCTCTCGCTCATCCCAATCTGGGGCTTCTAAATTTAACCTGCTATCAACTTGAGCGCTGGAGGACTTCCACTCTGTGGCTGAATGCCACTTGGAAGCTCCTTCACTTGTCACCTCCCTCCCTGCAAGCCCCCCCTCCGCCCTACCCCCCTCCAAGTCGTTGCCCGCAAATGCTGGCTGCCGTCACCCATCCTTGCTCAGCCAAACGTCCATCGGCTAGCGCCTTCCTTTGTCTAGGCAGCCACCTCTGCTCTCACCCACTGTCCCCCTGCGACACTTCCTAACCGGACACACAGTCACCCCCCCGCACACACACACACACACACAGCCCAG